AGCAAGAAAAGGGCCTGAAAATTCCCCAAAAAATTCAACTACATTGAAAGCTAAAAGAAGAAAAAAGAGCAATTCTTCACATATTGATACATTGAATGATAAAGAAATAGTAATAATTAATAGAGGATTGATTCATTTTTTAATAACATACAATATAGATTTTAAGTGCATAGAATTCAATTATTTTGATGATTTTTTGAAGGCCCTTCATCCGGGATATACTTTTCCTAATTGTTTAGATTTAACGACAAATATCTTAAATGAAGCCTACGATCACTACAAAAATACGAAATTCGATTTTAATTGCTGTGGAATTTTATTAATTAGCTGCCAAAGAAACTGTAATCAATACATAAGCATGACGTACAATCAGCAAGGAACTTCTACATACATTGATGCTTGCAATAGTTTGACAAGTTTAGAAACATTTATTACAAAATCTATTGAAATAACCAAGCAAAAGTACAATGTCGATATTTATGCAGTTGTTTCAAACATAGACAATTATTTCAATTTACCAATGATTGTAGAAGGTACAGATGAGAGGAAATACTGGTATTTTAATTGCATCACCAAAAATATAAACTCAATAACCAAATCAATATTAGCCAACTGTAAACATAACGTAAATAAAATTATAATGACATTTTCAATAGTAGATGAGCAGGAACAAATTTTGAAGCATGACGGTACAAAAATGACAATCATTACTGATGATAATTACAACAATACTTTTAATGCACTTATACCTTGCTGCCAAAATTTGAAAATCTTGCGGAATCTAGTAGCCGATAATAAATACAAGTGCAATCAGGAGACACTGCAGTTGTTATTTGATTCAAGTTTTGAGGCAGAGCTGAATAGTAGTATAAGTATACTAAAAGCAATTAATAAACAATCACATATACAAAATAAAGTGGAGTACAGCATTGCGGATGCAGTAGAAGACTGGATACAATTGGAATTAGATTGTACAAATGAATCACACAAGATGTTAATAAATGACCAATTAAAATTAATATTAAATTCAGTATCATTAGCAGCGAATTATTTACATCCAACTTATAGGGGACAAAAATTAAAATTCTTAGACAATAAATATGTACAAATTGTAGGACATTTTTTATTGATGTACTTGATGAAGATGAAATGGAAGTATTATTTCAATTTGAAGACAAGACTGGTATATTTGAAAAAATGTTTCAGAAAGAATATAAATCTATTAAAACCTTTTACCGTACTATACAATCAGTGTATCCGAAATTTGCTATTTTTTGTCAAAAACTATTAACAATTCCTGCATACACTAACGAGCAGGAATTACTTTTAGTTCAACGAAATGATTTAGACTGTGAACAAAAAAGAAAAGTTACTGAACTATTTTATTCATTAAAAATCAATGAAAAGAAAAAGGACATTTTATAATCTCACGTCAAAGATTGTTAAATACTTTTTCCTTCATTATTATCAGTTCCTCTCAGGCATGTGCGAGACCCCGAAATATTTGGTCGGGTCGAGAATACGAAATTTTTCGGGATCGGGTCGGGTCGGGTCGGGTTCCCGATAGTTTCGAGACTTTTAAATTTTCGGGATTCCCGAAAAAGGTCGGGATTCTCGAAATAATCGAGATTCCCGAAAGAATCGGGATTTCCGAAATTTCCGAGAGCCCACTAGCACTAATCAATCATTTATATTCGTTTTAATGTGTACAGGGTGAGTCTCCTAACATGACGACCTCAAATAACTCGTAAGGTATTCGTTGTACGAAAAAATGTTTGAAACAAAAGTTGCATGGTATCTAGAGGTCCTAGAGGAACATACAGTGCTCTAATCTGTTTTTTATTAACTTATTTTTTTATTGAGATATTAGGGTCTGGGTACGGTCTGGGTTATTTGAGGTCGTCATGTTAGGAGACTCACCCTGTATACATTAAAACGAATATAAATGATTAGTGGGCTCTCGGAAATTTCGGAAATCCCGATTCTTTCGGGAATCTCGATTATTTCGAGAATCCCGACTTTTTTCGGGAATCCCGAAAATTTAAAAGTCTCGAAACTATCGGGAACCCGACCCGACCCGACTCGACCTCTTCCCGATTCGTCCCGACCATCGGGTTCCCGATGTTTTCGGGGTCTCGCACATCCCTAGTTTCTCTATATCTTGGTATGTATCTATGTATGTAATATAAGCAACTTTACTTTTTCATTATGTCATGTGATATTAATTATGTTAATATTTATAAGGATAAGTGTAATTCATAAAAGACATTACATTATTGACAATTATACTTCGTAAGAAATATTAATTTTAAAATCTGTGAATTGTAGGCAGTATTAATATTGATAACTGAATTAAAACTAAAGTTTTTAACAATTAATAATAAACTTGTGCTACTGTTTGGCTTGGCTTCAAAGTTTGAATCAAATAACAGTACTTATAACATAGTATTTTTCAGTTAAATATAAATACAAGTTTATATAAACAATTCATAGTTATCGAAAGAAACCTTTGTTATAGAATAAAATACTGTTATCTGAATAGAAGAGCATTGTTATATCCTTACATACTTAATATATAAACCTGCGCACTACCTTATATAAATTTACCTAATACTTATTGTAATAGACGGATCCCAGACAGATTATGATATACGCTGGCTCGACGTAGAGGAGAAAAGAAAACAACAGCACAAACGTTTCAACCTTAATATATTTCTGACACTGGTCGTGAAACAGACCGGGAAGGAAGACGGGAACAAATCAAATCACCAATTCCAATAGCAGTTACAATCTAGAATACATACATACATAACGGAATTCAGCTCTTATCTTCTAACGCTTGACGGTGAAATTAACAAACAAATCGAACTAAATCAAAACATTTTTTAGGCTTTCGCGGCCATAGTGGTATCCAGAGTATCAGAGACTATTTGATTCCCTGATGAAGCTAGCTGCAATGCTGGTGAAACGTCGGACTTTCTCGTCTTCTGAACGCGGCTCCAACCCGGAAGCCAATTCTAGTAGTAAATCAAAACAATCGAATCAAACTATACATAATTAAACTAAATAGCTACAATTGGGCATAATAATGACTTATAGAAACCAAATTGCAGAAAAAGTAGAGAAAATACAGGAGAAATACATAAGATGAACCTATTTACTACTTAAAAAGTAGTATAATGCTATTAATTTTGCTGATATCTCAGGTTTCAATCGATTTCTTTTAGTACAGTGTACTAGTGTCCATTGAGAAAAAAGTCTCTCAAGTTCTGCTGTGGATGCAGGAATATTCAATAATTTCTTTGCTAATGAACTTAAATCTTCATAAAATGGTTTTGCAGTTCTCCAAAAAACATTCGGAGATTTGTATCTCTTTTGTGAAATTTTTCTAAACATACCAGTTTCATTTTTATATTTTTCTAGTTGCTGCAAACCATTTTCATTTAAATTATTTTTGAAGAAGTTATTCATCATGTTTATGTAATATTGATTTTGAACAAATCTACTTCCTCTATATGTTTGATGCAAAAAATTTGCAGCTAATCCGTAGCGATTTATAACTTTTGTTAATCGTTCTTGTAAAATGACCTCAAAATCTTCAGCATGTGTTGGAATTTGCAATTCTAACCACATTTCTGTGGCAACAGCTATGTTACAATTTATTTCTTGACATGCATTTATTAAAGTACATATTGGGTCAAAGACTATTATGTAATCGGTTAATTTTAATTCAAATGATTTTTCAAATAAGCTTTCAACAACCCCATCTTTAAATTTATATTTGTTTTCTGCATCTTGTCCTTCATTATATTTAATAATATCACGCATGATACAAATATTTTCCAAGCACCTTCTGTATGCATTTCTTTTGCTACACCATCGAGTCTCTCCTGAGAATATCATTTTTTTACCACCTCTACTTATTAATTTATTAGGCGTACAAATAAGTTTCCTCGGTTTTTTATAAAAAGTTAGGAATTTATTGTGAAGGAACAGTACATTACGTTTTATTGAAAGTATTTTCCATCATTTGCCACTACTTTTCCCCATCTTTCTGGCAACATTCGGATACCCCGTCGAAAAAACTCTTCATCTTTTGACGCTATCCACAAATCTACCCAATTTTTGGTGTCTTCATATGATGTGAAGCGCTGCTCAGACAGACCATGTGCCATCGACCGGAACAGGTGATAATCAGAAGGGGCTAAGTCTGGTGAATACGGCGGGTGGGGTAAAACTTCCCAGTTGAGTGTTTCCAAGTATGTTTTTACCGGCGCCGCAACATGTGGACGAGCATTATCGTGTAAAAGAATAATTTTGTCGTGTCTGGAGCAGTAATGGGCGCGTTTTTCCTTAAGTGCCCGACTCAATCTCATCAATTGTGTGTCGGTAGAGAGCTCCAGTAATGGTTTCGCTTGGTTTGAGCAATTCATAATACACGACACCAAGCTGATCCCACCAAATACACAGCATGAGTTTTTTTCCATGAATATTCGGCTTAACTGTCAATGTTGATGGTTCGCCGGGCTTAACCCATGACTTTCTCTTCTTTGGATTATCGTAGTGAATCCATTTTTCGTCACCAGTGACTATACGATGCAAAAAACTCTTTTTTTTATTCCTGGCAAGCAGCATTTCACTCATGCATAATCGGCGTTCAACGTCTCTCGGCTTTAGTTCATATGGAACCCAAGTTCCTTGTTTTTGAATCATTCCCAACGATTTTAAACGATGTGAAATTGCTTGTTGAGTCACTTGTAATGTAAGTGCAAGTTCTTTTTGCGTTTGGGACGAATCTTCCTCCAATAATACTTCTAATTCCATGTCTTCGTACACTCTCTGCCTTCCACTGCGTTCTTTCTCCTTCACGTCAAACTCACCGTTCTTAAACTTTTGAAACCATTCCTGACAACTTCTCTCACTTAAAGCAGCTTCACCATATGCTTCTAGAAGCAATCGATGCGCCTCAGCTGCAGATTTTTTCAAATTAAAGAAGTAAATCAAAAGTTCCCGCAAATGATGCTTATTCGGCACAAAACTTGACATTTTTGCAGGAAAAAAATTACGTGATGCTGATACGGAATCACTAGTACTTTAAGGTTATGGTGTTGCCGGATGACGAAACTTGGGATATTACGTTTTACATCTGACAATTTCTCCATAACCTTCTGGTTTGGCCATCTTTTGACAAACCGCGGAAACTTATTTGTACGCCTAATACTTTCTAAATTAGGAGACCGAAAATCTTTTATAATGTTATTTACTTTATCATCAAAACTAGTATCAATTAAAGATTTAAATAACAGGTTGCCACTGTGACTGTTACAAGTAACATGCCACAAATCCACTCTTCTCTTGATATTGATCATATTTGAAGCATTGTCTGTTACAACAGCATAAATGTTAATGTTGTATTGATTATATGCAATTTCAACACATTGATTAACTACTTCACTTAAAGCCTTTCCAGTTTCTCGGATTTGGTTGAAAGTCCAAGATTCCAAAAACAAGTTTCTTCCAGTTGTTAGCCGTAACATGGCTACAACATTTTTTGAGTTTGCTGCTGAATTCTTCCAACCATCAATTAAAAGTACAGCATTTTGCTGCACATTTTGTTTAATGGAACTACATAATTGTTCATATTGTACATTTAAAAGTTTTGTACCCATTGTTTTTCTCGATGGAAATACATAGTCCTTATTTAGTGCATGTACAAAAGCTTTAAAGTGGCTTGATTCCACCACACTGAAAGGGATATTGCACCCAAAAAAGAAATTTGATAATAATTTATCCGTTTCATTTTTTCTGAAACAGATATTTTTATTTACATAATTTTCAATTCAAAGAAATTTTAGTTATTATCGTATATTTATTTCTAATTACTTCACCTTTCACGATTCATTTTTTATTAGTTATTAATGGTGGGTAAAGACACGATTTTTTTATTTTATACACGTGTTTTAAACGTTTTAAATGTATATGTATGTGGAATGAAAATAACCAATAATTCATACCAGAATTATGAATCATTTTTTGGGGTTAGGAAAATGGCGATTATATATAGTTTCCGACGTAATCGACGTATTCTACACGTTTTCAGTGTTTCGACGTATTTTACAAGTTTTCTACAGTCTACGGTAAATAACTGACGACACCCGTCGAAAACCCATCACTGGTCAGGTCACAGGTCACACAAAGATAACGCACGAACATCTAATAAGAAAAACCGATCAACCGTACTGCAGCCACTGCCCCACTGAAACCCACACAGTAGACCACATCCTATACCAGTGCAGGAGAACCGAACCCCAAAGACAGAAATATGGGATAAAACCGGACACAGCCCTTACAGCTCAGGCCCACGTAAGTGACACTTTAGAATTTCTCAAAGAAACAAATATGTATAATCAAATATAGCGCGCAAGCACGCATCCGCCGCCAATGACCTCGCAGTCAACGCGGCGTAAAAAACACAAAGAAGAAGAATTTTCTAAATTTTTTCTTCGTTATGGTACTTTCCTTATACCTACATAAATTGTGAACAAAATTAAGTGAATAGGTAGGGGAAATAAAGTTTTTTACATATAATAACTAAGATAGAGACGCGACGCTGCCACCATGGTGACTCATTCCAATAGAGATGCCACCCTAACGTCCTGACCACGTCAACATTCCAGAGGGCGATCCACGACGACAGCGTTACGTGGAAATCCACCGCCAGATCGCGACACCGCCCCCGGAGGAAAATCTAACCAAGTAAGTCTAGAGAAATCCTTTCAATACCGACGGGTAGGCACGGGTAATGCAGCGCGCTGTAAACCGACACAATTTGGCCCGAAATAGGGGGTTTCGAAATAAGAGATTTTGCCCTTATATGAGCAGCTTTTCGGTCGGATGAGGTCTCATTCGAAAGAGGAAGGTCCAATGCAGTGCGCTCTGGTCAGAATCGAACGAGATTGTGTTCACATTTATTAATATCAACGTCGAAAGTCGGGAAAAAAATGAATGAAATACAGCCACAGAATCGAAGTCTTTTTAGGTTACTAAAAGAGTTGTACGATTCCAATACTGACCAAAGCGCGCTGCATTGGACCTTCCTCTTTCGAATGAGACGTCATCCGACCCAAAAGCTGCTCATATAAGGACAAAATCTCTTATTTCGGAATTGCATTCCCACAAGCGAGTTCCGCCATTACATGGGTAATAGCAGAGCAAGTCACGTGACAAATTTAGTTCAGGCAGTCGCTACGAGATGGCGCCTAATCAAGAGGGCTGTGAAGGTGAAACCATACCAAAGTGAAGCGTTAGCTTCGATACATAGGCCCCGTGAAAGCATGATGCTGACTTTCAACGTTTATATTAATAAATGTGAACAGAATCTCGTTCGATTTTGACCAGAACGCACTGCATTGGACCTTCCTCTTTCGAATGAAACTTCATCCGACCGAAAAGCTGCTCATATAAGGACAAAATTTCTTGTTTCGAAACCCCATATTTCGGACCGAATTGTGTCGGTATACCGCGCGCTGCATTGCTCGTGCCTGCCTATCTCCCTCGGTGTCTTTCAATCATCGATTCATTTTTGCTCATTTATTATTGACAATAAATTCAACATAGAGTCTCCCACGAAGCGGGATCTATGCAGGTAATTCAGTATTGGAATCGTACAACTCTTTTAGTACCCTAACCCATACCTCGATTCTACGGCTGTATTTCGTTCATTTTTTCCTCGACTTTCGACGTTTATATTAATAAATGTGAACAGAATCTCGTTCGATTTTGACCAGAGCGCACTGCATTGGACCTTCCTCTTTCGAATGAGACTTCATCCGACCCAAAAGCTGCTCATATATGGGCAAAATCTCTTATTTCGACATAATTGAGTACATCGAAATCGACAGTAATGACGGCGAACTTCCTTAGCGTCTAACGTAGTGAAATAAAGAACGCTAGTGTGAGCCTTTCCTTCTTGCTCTTGTAAAAGAGAAACAACTGAAATACGACCTCGCGATAAGCGGCATACGATTCCAAGCCTCGATTGCCCCAGCATTTTTACTTTCCGACCTATGTAAGGTATAAGGAAATTTATGAAGTATCATCACAGACGAGATATATGAATAGACGTTTCACCTTATGGACTTTCGCGGCCGAATCTGACTGTCATACCGACCTGAAAATTCGTAGCTGATTTTAGCGGCCTCTTCTCATGGATGGCGGTTAGTTGAGAAACTAGGCACTGAATTAGTATTGATGGGCAGCCAGCTGAGTGGGTACGTAAATACATGTGAGTTGATTATGGGAGGGATTGGAAAAGACAGTGGAGTATTATCAGACGGCAGACCCGTGCCGAAAGGGAACTGCCCCACCACTCACACACACTAATGCCAACCACCTTGTATATGAGTTCTGGCGTTTCGTATAGCTTCGTAGATTCGAGAAAGGCGGCGAATGTCAGTCTATCCTTCTTGCTCTCAACACAGCTGAAATTCGATCTCGCATATTCTCGAGCCGAGATTCTCGACTGCCTAGGCATTTTTGACTTTCCGACCTGTGTAGGCATATACAATGTATAAGCAATATACCATAATGAAGAAAAAATTACAAAAATTTGTTTTTACGGAAATACACGTTTTAAAACGATAATATTTTATGAACATATTTTAACCCTTTGCACTCGGTTGTCCCCTCTGAGGGGACATGAAAGTTTATTAGTGATTAAGAAGAATGAACTGATTTCACCGCAATTTTTTAAGAAACACATGTTTTCCTGTACTTTCCTATTAAAATGGGAAATATTCTATTAAAATGAGAAATATATCAGCCGTTTTTACGTTGGAAGTGGAAGGATTGTCGAGGATGGTCAGAGGCGTATGGTCGGATTCAAACACGTGGACAATAAACGTAACTATATAAACTATATTATTTAATGTTTACTAAAATTATTTAACATAAAGAACATAAAACGTAAACGTAAAAAACTATAAACGTAAAATCGAAACTTCATTCAAAGTCGGACCATTCCTATTGCTATCTTCGTTATAAATAAATTAACGTTTTTTGTCGGACAATAGAATGAATAATAAGCTACATATTCCAAATGTAGGCCAAAGAAACCGGGACTGCATTATATGTTCCGACAGGAAAACACCAGGAGAAAGACGTCAAACAACATTTTATTGTGAAACATGTATAAATCAACCTGCTATGTATATTGGGAATTGTTTCAGAATTTACCATACCATAGAAAATTATGAGAAATAAATTTTTATTTTGTATTGTAAATATGTGTTCTTCAATGTCCATAAATACATATAAACCAAATTTCAACACAATGCCTTACTTGGTTCCAAAGTTGTATCATATATCACAAATATCGCTGTTACTACAATGAATTCTATCTACACTTACGTGCCTGTTATATATATACGACTCGCCGATTGTTGACAAAAAATCTGCAGTATGTATACGACTCGCCGATTGTTTATTGTTTCTATAATCGAGGCGGCCGGCAATGAATGCGTATAACAGCTGTGCTTAAAAACTCGATTTGTGTAGCCGGCCGCCTAACGGCGGCCACGCATTCATTTTCTATTTCAATTTTCTTTATTGATATTATCAGAAGTGGGAAAGATTTCAGCCATTATTTCGACAAATTTAATTATTAGATCATTAGCATGATATTGTCGACGGAAGAAGAATTCAACTAAATAGCCTACATAATGTATTTGGCGAGTTCCATACGTCAGAATATTCGAACCTTTGACAACAATGCAGAACTAGATTTAGCTCGACACATTATACATTATTTGTCGTCGGTTGTCATGCCGACTAATACAAACAAGAGAAAAAAGCAACGATCGTGGACTGATGCAATACAGAGCCACAGATATGTACATATAGACAGAATTCATTGTAGTAGTAGCGATATTTTGAAGAAAAATCTCGGAAACTAAGGCCGAGCGACGGTTATATGTATAGGAAAAAGTTGCTCAAAATGTTGATTTCTACAACATATTCAAAAATCATCGAAATCGGTGAGACCCGGCCTTTTCTAAATAATTACCTCATTTTCTTTCAATAATTCTCCATTGCAAAAATTCTACAGTATTCTTACATTTTTTATATTTTAAAATTTTCCCATGTTATTAGAAAGTAGATATACAACGAAAGTTATACAATTTATAGTTCCTAGCATGTATAACATGTATATGTATATAACGCATGGTCGCTTCGTATGGAAAGTCAATGAATCTTCAAAAAGCGCCCAGGTCCGATTTCGAGAAATGTAAGGTCTGTCAGTCACGATGGCTTTTGTCGTTTACTGACGATTCGAACGGTTGGCGATGCCAGGCTTGCTTTCGAGAAATGTAAACGACGTCAGCGATGCAAGAGCGAGAAGGAAAGCGAGTATCAGCCTGTTCTTCTCGGCTCTTCCGAAACTCAACGAGCTCACGTACACGCAATTCAGCATAGTGTGCGAAAGCGAGGAATGAGGAGTTTCCGGGGCCCCGATGCAAAGTCTGATTAAACTGATTTCGAGTCGCAAATACGTTTCTGCCGAGTTATTTTTTTAATAAATGATGTATTACAATTTAAAATAAAAAATAGAGAATTTGCGGTGTACGTATCAATGAAATACATCCTTATGAATTTTAATAATCTTGAAATTTTTAAATACTCTTAATCGATTGATTTCTCCAATGAAATTAATCGATTAATGTCCAATGATGGACCCTACAGCTTTAATTCCGTTAAAAAATAATAAAATTTATGTAATTTTATTTTCTGTCTCACTTCCTCTTGTGTTAATTTCTGAATCTGTTGATAACGTAGCGAGTGACACGAAAATGGTAATGGGGTCCCGGGACCCCAGAAACTCCGGCCGAAAAATTACATTACGTGAAACGTCTATTCATATATCTCGTCTGTGGTATCATAATGTAAAAAAAATGTCGAAATTTTTTTTAGCGGAAATACACGTTTTAGGACCCCCTGATCATATTGTGACTATTAAAAAAAAAGACTTTTTTTTTTGTTCCTATTACATATAAACGGTCGAATGAATTTCAATGAAACTTTACATTTCAGTTTTATGTTCTCGTTTCTAGGTCTGATTAGATTTTGAGCGTGATCAGCCCCCGGATAATGATGATTATACGACTTTTAGTTTTATAATTATTTCGATACATATACATTATTTGTAACAAATTTTGGCAATTATTTAGAAAAGGGGGAGGTCTCACCGATTTTGATGATTTTTGAATATGTTGTAAAAATCAACATTTTGAACAACTTTTTCCTATACATATAACCACCGCTTGGCCTTATTTTTCGAGATTTCTCTTCAAAAAGATCGCTGCTACTGCAATGAATTTTGTCTATATGTACATGTCCGTGACTCTGTATGCGTCAGTCCACGATCGCCGATTTTTTCTCTTGTTTGTGACAAGAAATAATGCATAATGTGTGAAGCTAAATCTAGTTCTGTATTGCTGTCAAAGGTTCGAATATTCCGAAGTATGGAACTCGCCAAATACATTATGTAGGCTATTTAGCTGAATTCTTCTTCCATCGACAATATGATTTTAATGATCGAATAATGAAATGTTTCCCACTTCTGATAATATCAATAGAGAAAATTGAAATAGAAAATGAATACGTGGCCGACCGCCTTACGGCGGCCGGTATAAGAAAATCTAACCCAGACCTAATCCATTATATTAGTTACTAGGTAGAATAATTAGATTTATAAGGGTTAGATGTTTTTATGCCGGCTGCCGTTAGGCACACCCATTGTCGGCCGCCTCGATGCATCTATAGAAACAATGAACAATCGGCGATTGAACGCTTACACACACGCTGCCACAGCATGTACTTACGTATAGATAGAATTCATTGTATGTAGTAGCAGCGATCTTTTTGAAGAGAAATCTCTGAAACTAAGGCCGAGCGGCGGTTATATGTATAGGAAAAAGTTGTTCAAAATGTTGATTTCTATAACATATTCAAAAATCACCGAAATCGGTGTTACCGTCCGTAATCTAAATAATTACCCACATTTAATATTTAATAATCGTCAAGCACAAATTACTACAGAAAGTTATCGATTCCATATGGATCTCGGAATCGATCAAGTTTTGAATCGGCCAATAGTTTTGCGAGTTTGGAGTCTGACAATACTTTCCAGGTTTTCAAATGTTTCCAATCCGGCTAGAGCGCGCACGCGTTACCTCTCTACTTGCGCGAATATTCAAAGTATGTGTTGCAGCCTTTCGCTACATTATTGTCTACAATTTCATACCCTACATTATTCACGAAAATAAATGTTACTTTATTTTGTACAGTAGAATTTTCAAATGAATGCATAGTAATCAAGTTTTTTTGGAAACATTATTGTGGAAGATTTTAGAGTGGGGTTGCATGTTGATTAAAATAAAATATTGCCGCGAAAGTCTTCTTCATTTATATACGCGCTTCGTGGGAGAGTATGTGTTGGATTTACTGTAAATAATAAATGAGCAAAAACGAATCGATGATTGAGACACACTGTCTTTGCTGCATAAAGAGAAACCTTAGCGGGTCCAACGAGTCTAAGGGCCTTTGCTGTTTGTCACCGAAGGACAAAGTGAGGAACACGGTGCAGGCATAGAGTTTCTTTTCAAGTGGACGACACATTTTCTTCACGTGCAATTTTAATAGCGATAGAACATCCTTTCCAGCCGTAAAATAAACTTTCCAATTCGTTACAAAAGAAAGACTTTTCCGGGTCGAGATATTTAGCGACAGTTTGTCGAAAAATAAATTTTGTAATATCGACATATTCATATTATTTCCTGAATGTCCAACAGCCTCAAAAATAGAAATGTTTGTGAAATTTAATGAAAATTATAATTTGTAGAAGTCTTTAAAGTTGAACGATTTAAAACTACCATTTTTACCGCAAGAAATTACTTCTCCTCATTGAGATGTTTCAACAGTTCCGTTTAACATTTTCATTTCGTTTTTTCCTTTTAAATCAAGAGTATTTCTTTGCAGTGAAAAACAATGCTTTCATTAATAATTGCTGTACATAATATGTTTAAAAAGTAATGCTGAATGAAGTGAATAAAATGTACAAAATTCTTTACAATTGATAAGGAATATCTTAATTTTTAAATATCATGTATTTTAACTAAATGTAATGTTTTCAACACATCTTCCCCTAAATGTTCATATAAAATCACTTCCCCCTTCAGATCAATTTTCATATTATTATTGTTTAAAGCCGTCATTGTCATTTCTCATGGTCGCGTCTACCGTTACCATGCTACACGCTACGCTACAGAAATATGGGTTCCCGAAACAAGAAATTTTGTCCTTATATGAGCAGCTTTTCGGTCGAATGAGGTCTCATTCGAAAGAGGAAGGTCCAATGCAGTGCGCTCTGGTCAAAATCGAACGAGATTCTGTTCACATTTATTAATATAAACGTCGAAAGTCGAGGAAAAAATGAACGAAATACAGCCGCAGAATCGAGGTATGGGTTAGGGTACTAAAAGAGTTGTACGATTCCAATACTGAATCACCTGCATAGATCCCGCTTCGTGGGAGAGTCTATGTTGAATTTATTGTCAATAATAAATGAGCAAAAATGAATCGATGATTGAAAGACACCGAGGGAGATAGGCAGGCACGAGCAATGCAGCGCGCGGTATACCGACACAATTCGGGCCGAAATATGGGTTTTCGAAACAAGAAATTTTGTCCTTATATGAGCAGCTTTTCGGTCGGATGAGGTCTCATTCGAAAGAGGAAGGTCCAATGCAGTGCGCTCTGGTCAAAATCGAACGAGATTCTGTTCACATTTATTAATATAAACGTCGAAAGTCGAGGAAAAAAGTCGTGGACTGACGCATACAGAGTCACGGACATGTACATATAGACAAAATTCATTGCAGTAGCAGCGATCTTTTTGAAGAAAAATCTCGAAAAATAAGGCCAAGCGGTGGTTATATGTATAGGAAAAAGTTGTTCAAAATGTTGATTTTTACAACATATTCAAAAATCATTAAAATCGGTGAGACCTTCCTTTTCTAAATAATTGCCAAAATTTGTTACAAATAATGTATCTGTATCGAAATAATTATAAAACTAAAAGTCGTATAATCATCATTATCCGGGAGCTGATCACGCTCAAAATCTAATCAGACCTTGAAACGAGAACATAAAACTGAAATGTAAAGTTTCATTGAAATTCATTCAGCCGTTTATATGTAATAGGAACAAAAAAAAAAGTCTTTTTTTTTAATAGTCACAATATGATCAGGGGGTCCTAAAACGTGTATTTCCGCTAAAAAAAATTTCGACATTTTTTTTACATTATGATACTTCATAAATTTCCTTATACCTTACATAGGTCGGAAAGTAAAAATGCTGGGGCAGTCGAGGCTTGGAATCGTATGCCGCTTATCGCGAGGTCGTATTTCAGTTGTTTCTCTTTTACAAGAGCAAGAAGGTAAGGCTCACACTAGCGTTCTTTATTTCACTACGTTAGACGCTAAGGAAGTTCGCCGTCATTACTGTCGATTTCGATGTACTCAATTATGTCGAAATAAGAGATTTTGCCCTTATATGAGCAGCTTTTGGGTTGGATGAGGTCTCATTCGAAAGAGGAAGGTCCAATGCAGTACGCGCTGGTCAGAATCGAACGAGATTGTGTTCACATTTATTAATATAAACGTCGAAAGTCGAGGAAAAAATGAACGAAATACAGCCGTAGAATCGAGGGCTGGGTTAGTAGTACATATATACCTGCTATCCCCACCACTCTGTTAGACGCTAAGGAAGTTCGCCGTTACTATTGTCGATTGGTCACACTGTTCGGAATGGTATATGGCAATAGCAAGCAGCTGCCTCTGATTTCTTTAGGCGGCAGCGTATCTCATGGTATTACCATTTCTGTGTAGAGAATATCTGCTGTAATACCGACCTGCCGCATCGGCGAGGTCACGTGCCGTGCCTACCCCCTTAAGCTGTTACAAGAACAAAAAGGAAATGCTCATACTCGCCTTCTTTATCGATTTTCCGAAGTTGTACGAAGTGTCGAGCTCACGTACACGTGGCTCGTGCGGTAGTATATGTCCGCTATCCCCACCACTCTTTTAGACGCTAAGGAAGTTCGTCGTTTCTAGTGTCGACTCGAGACATTGTCGAGGTCGATGCACTCAATTATGCCAACTCTAGCCACACTCCACTCGCCTTCTTTTTCGATTTTTCAAAGTTGCGCGAGGGGTTGAATCATAATTTAATGACTTAATGGTATATTATTAAATCTTATTAGTAATACATAATGTGAATATTATCTAGTCGTGAAAAGTATAGTCTCTTTTAATAAAGGTTTAAGACAAACATTTTTAATTCAACTAATGTCAGTGATAATTTTTAACGGTGGGCATTTTACTAGAAGAGTTGATAACAAATGAAATCAAAAGAAAAGAAATTATTATGTAATAAAAATTGTATTTATTTTTGGAATGCAAACACAATTTTTTTTTAACATTTTTGCAACACAGTTGCAGGTATAGTTTTTTGTAATATAATACATAACCAAAAAACTAATAATTTAAATAACATAAATCCTTTAATTATTAGGTTGAAACATCTTGTTGCATGTTAAATTGTATATAAATACAATTTCAATGTGATCATCATTAAAGATTTTTTAAAAATGATACGAACATTTATATTTTTTGATCTGGAAACAACTGGACTCATTACAAGAAATTGTATGCCAAAAATCACTGAACTGTCATTAATCGCAGTATCGAGAAATGCTATATGCGATACTACAGATCCTTTACCAAGAGTGTTGCATAAATTAGTTTTACCAATACATCCAAATAAACAAATATCTAAAGAAATTCAAACATTAACAGGTAACTTAATGATTTGTTAAAATTTTGTTGTGATTTAATATATTTGTAATTATAATTATGTTATTCTAGATTTATCTAATGAAAATTTGGAAGAAGTTAGATCTTTTAACTGTGAGACGTACGACACAGTGATAAATTTTATACACCGACTTACAGCGCCAACTTGCTTTGTAGCTTACAATGGAAATAATTTTGATTACCCAATATTTTTATCGGAGCTTAAAAATATTAACAAGGTATGTGTAAATGTTACTTCGTAATTTTCATGTTCGTAACTTTATAACTGGATCTTTTTATTAAAGGTTCTCAGCGAAGAAATTTTTAGCATCGACATGATCAATTTAACTAAAGATTTCTTTGCGATTAAAAAGGATCCAATAAAACGAGTAAGCAATGCAGAAACTATTACTCCTAACTCTTCTACTACCGATGACACCAGTACTCTGCTAAATGACGGTTACGACCAAATGCTATCCGATGCGTTAGATTCTATTATGAGTCGAGATCTTAATAACACTAATAAAAATAAATTTAATAATGTGCTTAACACACCAAAAAGCAGTTGTTACAAAAAGATAAAAGAAATCAATGAAAAAACACCTGAGAGTCAGATTGTGAAGATAAAACATTCTAATAAAATCTCTCAGAATAGAAAAGAAAATATCACGCGAAGAAGATTAGATTTTACGAACAGTCGACCATCTAATTTTAAGTTATCTACTGTTTGTAAACACATTGTCGGATCTGCTCCTGAAAATGCACATAGCGCAGAAGGAGATTGTCTCACTATGATACGCTGTGCAATTCAGTTAGGAAACTTTTTTGTCGAATGGGCTGATTGCAATGCAGTACCTATGATTAATTACAACAAACAATAACAACTTTAATATATATTTTACATATAACTTTTACTAAAAACGGTATATGAAAAAATATATTAAAACTATATATTTGAAAAATGTCGAATACGTGTGATAAAAATAAAAGTTTCTCACAATGTTACATATATATACATATACATATATACAATCTACATATATTTTGAAGTCAAATGAACAGTGACATTTAAAGAAAAATAATTGTTAAGTAGATATATAAATCAAAAATATGAGTGAAGAATAAGAGCGCAAAAAACAAGGATACTGAAACGAGAGCTCATCGTGAATAGATATGACCGATCTAATTGTATTGACTAATAAATCATTGTTCTCTTTTGTTTTTACATATATATACATCGAAAGATAGCAAATAAAAATAGATTTTTATATACAGTTGTCTACAAAAGTGTTCGTATACGAAACTGAAATGGGTTCGATTCAATTTTACTGCTGTTTACATAACGTTTGTTAGTAATGTGGTTATATATAATTAAAGTACATTTTTTAATCTTCATAACTGCGTAGGAGTAATTAAAAATAAATGTTTTTTTTTAAGTAAATAAAATATATTTATTGAAAGGTGAAACAGTGCAAAGTGCAAGTGAAAAGTGCAAATAGTTCAGTTATAAAATTAGCCTAAAAATATGAGTCGCAATTAGAAACGAAGGAAAGCAACCGTCGAAAAACGAGAAACTATCATTAATACATTTAAAAAAGAAAAATCATTAAAGACATTACATGTGATGGAGTTGCATGAGTGTAAAGGGGATGGACAATTTGTACATAATCGATGAAATTATGGATAAATATTTGTTTATCTAAATATACAGAATTCTTTGCGGCACAGGATTTCAGATAATGAAATAGACCTATGTTGCATAGAAATTTTATTGCGTTTTAAATTAAACAAAATTGGTATATTTTTATTAAGAAAGGTGTCACGTAATGTAAAAACATAAAAAAAAATAGTAATAGTTGTTGCAATAAACCTTCCGCTTGCAACAATTGATGAACCTGTATTGGCATGTTGAATGTTGCCAACACGAGTGAATACATTTGCAACATTTGTTGAAGATATTACCAACTGCTTTATGTAAATAAGACGAAATATAAACCTATGCGCGCGCATGCAGCTATTGCAATATTTCGAGGTGGGACTAAAAATGTCCCACCATCCATTACGGTGTATCAAAAAGGTGGGACACTTTTAATCCCAATGTGCCCCAAAGAGTTAAATACCTCTCTAGTCCCCACGTCTCAATTCAATTGAGCGTCTGTGGGAAGAATTGAACTAAAAACTTAGAAATAAATCGATTTCGAACCAAGAAGAGTTAGAAAACATTTTTAAATCCGAATGGGAGGACATAAATGATGAAATTACTTCAAACTTGGTACAATCAATGTAGCAATGATTACAAATTATAATTCTAGCGAAGGTTAATACTACAAAATATCAGTAACCTTTAAACTGATATTATTATTAAGCGAACGAAAATTTTTGTGGCCTGAAACTTGTACCATATAATAAATATGATTTATTTATTTAAAGAAAAAAAGATCCATTTTTATTTTCTATCAATTTTAAAGATTATGAAATGTACTAGAATTATATTGTAAATACATTCCGAACAAATGTTATGTAAATACTGATAAAACCGAATTGAATTTCATTCTCGTGTACGAACACATGGGTAACTGTATTTACAGGGTGTTTACCATCCCTGGGAGAAATTTTAATGGGAGATTCTAGAGGCCAAAATAAGACGAAAATCAAGAATACCAATTTGTTGATTGAGGCTTCGTTAAGAAGTTATTAATGTTTAAAGTCCCGCCTGTAAAACGGTAATCTGCGAACAGCTGCGTGCAAGCGATAGTATTTACAGTTACTCACAAAATTGAGCGTACACCTATGTAGTTAATAAAAACTTGTGGGAAAATGAACATAAAAAGAAATATTTAAAAGTAAAAACGCATTATACATTTTACTTGTACATTTCAGCAGATAATGCGTGAAGAAATTTTTAAACAATATTGATAGTTCATTTATGTTTAACAAAAACTTCAAAAGTATGCTTATTTTATCGTCACAAAATTGAGCGTACAGTTTATTAGTAACTAGAAAACTAACTTTTGTAAAACTTCTCATGGTTTACAATTCATTCCATTGTATCTAGTGACATAGTTCCGTTGCTATGATACGTTTGATTTTCATTTGTCATTGTTTATTAGCGAAAATTTGCACTATGGCTTCACGAAGATCAGAAATTGATATTTCTGTGCGAAAATTAGTTGTTAAATTGTATTGCCAAGGTAAATCTCTAAGGCAAATTGACAAAATAATGGCTAGAGCCCACTCTACTGTACAAAAAATTATTAACAATTACAAATACAATGGTACACTGCATAATCAGCCAGGACGCGGAAGGAAAACAATTCTGACTGGAACTGACGAGCGGTACAGAATACGATAACTTAAAATTAATCCAAAAAGTAGTGTACCAAAATTTACAACAGATGTTTCATCGAGGATTAGAAAATCGATATCGACGGAAACTGTTCGTAGGGTGCTACACGATAAAGGCTATCACGGTAGGGTAGCAAGGAAGAAACCTTATATTTCTATGGTGAATAGAATCAAGCGTTTGGAATTTGCAAAAAAATATGTAAGTTGTGATATAAAGTTTTGGAAGAATGTAATATTTTCCGACGAAGTTAAAATTAATTTATTTAATTCGGATGGAAAAATAATAGTATGGAGACAACCGAATTCAGAGTTCAATCAAAAGAATACGGTTCCTACTGTAAAACACGGCGGAGGTTCAATAATGCTGTGGGGATGTATGGCAGCAAGTGGAGTTGGTAATAGCGAATTTATTGAAACAATTATGGACAAACGAAAATATCTTGATATTTTGAAAAAAAATTTGAAATCGTCAGCTATAAAATTAAACATGCCAGCCATATATTATTTCCAACAGGACAATGATCCTAAACATACATCGTATATTGTTAAAGAGTGGCTGCTATATAACGTGCCAAAATTATTACACACTTCACCACAGTCGCCGGATATTAATCCCATTGAGAATTTGTGGCGAGAATTAAAATTAAAATTAAATAATTGTAGTTTTAGTAATAAAACAGATGCTAAACGCAAAATTGTAGAAATATGGAATAGTATTCCGTGTCCGACTACAAAAAAGTTAGTCGAGTCTATGCCAAAACGTTTGAGAGCAGTTATAGATACAAAAGGATTTGCAACAAAATATTAAAATAAAATATGTTAGTTACATTTGTTTAATTGGATCTGCTGTATGCTCAATTTTATGACAGTAAAACAAGAACAGTTTTGTTGCTTTTGCTAAATAGAAATGAACAATTAATTTTATTTAAGACTTTTTCCACTAATTGTCCGTCAAAACATATGAACAAAATAAATATTATGTTTTTACTTTTAAATATGTCCGTTTACGTTCATTTTCCCACCAGTTTTTATTAACTACATAGGTGTACGCTCAATTTTGTTAGTAACTGTACATCCAATGTAATTTTTCGGCCCATTTTTATGGGGCACTAGAACTCATAATTAGAATCATTAAAAACCTTCAATCCTTTCAGAAGTTATGATTTTTTAAACATACACATGAAATTTCAGGGTACCATTCCTAACCTCACATTACAATTAGGGAAAAGAATTTTTTTCTCGAAAGTACGTAGGTTTCGGGGGTATATGTATTCACCAAAAATGATTGTAATTGACCCCCGTAACCAAATATATTTTTTCCAGAATGATTTGAGATTTTTTAATTTTGTCGAAAAAGTCCATTTACTCGAATTTTTTTTTCGGATCTCCGTAATATTTCAGGGGTATGTCTATTCACCAAAAATGGTTGTAATTGACCCCCGTAACCGAATATATTTTTTCCAGAATGATTTGAGATTTTTTACTTTTATCGAAAATATTTGTCCACCTACTCGAATTTTTTTCTCGAATCTCCGTAGTATTTCAGGGGTATGACTATTCACCAAAAATGATTGTAATTGACCCCCGCAACCGAATATATTTTTTCCAGAATGATTTGAGATTTTTTAATTTTGTCGAAAATATTTGTCCACCTACTCGAATTTTTTTCTCGAATCTCCGTAAGAATTCAGGGGTATGTCTATTCACCAAAAATGATTGTACTTGACCCCCGCAACCGAAAATAATTTTTTCAGAGTGTTTTGAAATTTCGTAATTTAATTTTTTAATAACTTTTTAACGAAACCTTAATCAAGAAATTGATATTCTTCATTTTCGTCTTATTTTGGCCCCTAGAATTTCCCATTAAAACTTTTCTCAGGGGTGGCCGAACACCCTGTATAATATTCTAGCATACGTATATGCTAGAAAAATTGCATGATAGGATAGTTAATATAGAAACAGTGTTATATGTAAACATGAATGTATAAATATATGACAATTTTGTATAAAATTATTGCTAATGCTTCATAATAACTATATTATAGAAGTAACATTACAAATTTCCATGATATTGTATAATTTGTACATTAACATTAGAATTATCGACAATTATGGTGTATTTATTTGTACCAAACGAATTCAAACGATAGGTACTTGAAGAAATGTATAACGTAATGCAAATACATGATTATTTATTACAAATTAAAATTTATATTAGACTTAAAAATCGGCACAGATTATAAAAGAATGCACCATGATGTTCCATGTTCTATTTCTAAACAATTGTATAATATTAATATAGTACTGTTTTAACTATTATACATATAATTATAACATTGACTTACGATAGTACTTACCACATGTTTCATTTTGCATTTTATTGTATTTTTCTTTTAACATCTTTAATTCATTTTCAGTCACTGCAATTTGAAAAAAAAACTAGCATTAAAAGTAGTTTCATTATGAATATATGCAATTTATTTTAATACAATTTTACAAAATATAAACTTACAAACATATGATGCTATTATAAATGGGTCTGATGTTATACGCTTTTCTATGTTCTTTATGACATTACTCAAACGATGCGCCATATTATCCATTTCCAGTCTCCCAATTTTTTGCAATAAATTATATTTTGCATCCCAAAAATACTCAATTCTATGTTCCATGAAAGCGTAATGTAATTCTTGTAACATCTGAAAATATGATTCGTTTTTAATATAGTATTTTGTAAAAATGTGCATGTATTGTTTGCAATGACGTACATAAAAAAAGAGTAACGTTGAAGACATTTTATTAAGACCCTCTTGTGACCGCTGGTCGGATATATGTAAAAATAATGTTTCTATAAAGTAACTTGCCACATTCTTCCACTTTTGGACATCCCTCAATTTCTACAAGTTTAATAGTGAGAGCCATATAATATTAAGGTATAAAATATTTAATTTAATAGAAAACCTTCATCTGACGTATAACTGGCTTTACATTGCCCAACTTTGCGAGAATTTCTTTTTCTTGATAGTAAAAAGATGTCCTCCATTGAAGATTCTCGTTTATTTCGAAATGATAATTGATCGAAGGTAATGGAATTGCAAACCATGCTTTGTGTTGACACTAAAAGCAAGAATCGTTTGGTTCGACATTAGAAAATACAGGGTGTTCGGCCACTCCTGGGGAAAATTTTAATGGGGGATTCTAGGGGCCAAAATAAGACGAAAATCAAGAATACCAATTTGTTGATTGAGGCTTCGTTAAAAAGTTATTAACGTTTATAGTTGCGTCTGATAGATAGGCAACCTGCGTACAGCGCGTGCGCGCGATAGTGGTTCTCACTCTGCATGAGAAACACTACTTACAAGGAACCATCGCGAACGGTCCGGCTTCGATTTTGATGAAACTTTGTACACTTATAAAGCAGCCAAAAATAATCGACACGTATTTTTTTTTAGCTGCGGTAACTCGAGTTTAAGGGGTGAAACCACCCCTGGAATTTTGGCTCGAAACGGCTATCTCGAAAACGGAAAGACATACAAAAAAATTGTTAATGGGCGAGGTTGATGGTTTCTTATGTACAATAACATGGTGTTAAAAAATTTAAAAAAATACAATTTGTTTATAACAAAAAAAAATTTTTTAACTTAATTTTTCATTTCATTGAAATTTTCATAATGACAAAACATGACGAGCATTTTATTCCAAATCCATTGGTATGCGATTTTTTACAATTGCCTCCTACAGTTTTGCAGATTTTGATGATTTACATCTTGCGCGCACATCCATTATGGTAGTAGCCGTTCTAACTTTGATTTTAATGAAGCACTGTAGGCTTGCACTAAATCAAAGTTAGAACGGCTACTACCATAATGGATGTGCGCGCAAGATGTAAATCATCAAAATCTGCAAAACTGTAAGAGGCAATTTTAAAATATTACATACCAATGGATTTGGAAAAGTCCGGCCACCCTTGGGAAAAATTTTAATGGGAGATTCTAGAGGCCAAAATAAGACGAAAATCAAGAATATCAATTTGTTGATTGAGCCTTCGTTAAAAAGTTATTAAAAAATTAAATTAAAAAATTTCAAATCCTCCAGGAAAAAATTATTTTCGGTTGCGGGGGCCAATTACAATCATTTTTGGTCAATACATATACCCACGAAATCCTACGCACTTTCGAGAAAAAAATTCCTTACCGAAAATCTAATGTGAAGCCAGAAATGCTCGCCTTTATGCGAATCTTTAAAATGTCATAACTCTTGAACGGATTGGACGATTTTAATGTTTCAAAAGGCAAACAACGCATATTTTAGTGTAGAATATGTAGATATTCCAAAAATATGCAAAAAGTTGATCCTTGACCCCGCAAAATGAGAAAAACCCCATAAAAATGGTCCAATCTTCAAACAGCCATAATTCCTACAATAATGAATATATTTCAATGAAACTTTTTTCTGAAGTAGAGCTCATAGGTACCTACAAAAAAGTATTGGCCAACTTTTTTGTAGGGCGTCAAACAAAATTATTAAAAATGAAAAACGAATTTTTAAGAAAAATCGACAGGGCGGAGGTGCCTAAATTTTTCAGCGAAAAAAAAAATTTCAAATCATTCTAAAAAAAATTATTTTCAGTTGCGGGAGTCGATTACAATCATTTTTGGTCATTACACATTCCCCCGAAATCTTGGGCATTTCGGAGAAAAAAATTCAGTACGGGTGGAAGTTTAAACGTTAATAATTTCTTAACGAAGCCTCCATCAACAAATTGGTATTCTTGTATTTTTCCCGATTTTGTCCTCTAGAAGTAGTGCAAGCCTACAGTGCTTCATTAAAATCAAAGTTAGAACGGCTACTACCATAATGGATGTGCGCGCAAGATGTAAATCATCAAAATCTGCAAAACTGTAGGAGGCAATTTCAAAAAATCGCATACCAATGGATTTGGAATAAAATGCTCGTCATTTTTTGTCATTATGAAAATTTCAATAAAATGAAAAATTAAGTTAATAAATTTTTTTTTGTTATAAACAAATTGTATTTTTTTAAATTTTTTAACACCATGTTATTGTACATAAGAAACCATCAACCTCGTCCATTAACAATTTTTTTGTATGTCTTTCCGTTTTCGAGATAGCCGTTTCGAGCCAAAACTTCAAGGGGTGGTTTCACCCCTTAAACTCGAGTTACCGCAGCTAAAAAAAAATACGTGTCGATTATTTTTGGCTGCTTTATAAGTGTACAAAGTTTCATCAAAATCGAAGCCGGACCGTTCGCGATGGTTCCTTGTTAGCGACGTATCGACAGCCTTACAGTTTTCTGAGTTTTACAGGCAGAACTTTAAACGTTAATAACTTTTTAATGAAGCCTCAATCAACAAATTGGTATTCTTGATTTTCGTCTTATTTTGGTTCCTAGAGTCTCCCATTAAAATTTTTCCCAGGGGTGGCCGAACACCCTGTATATCTGGGAACATAATGACAAAATATACTAACATTTTCAATTTTATTGATTTTTATATTAGAACCATTAATTTTACAGTTCTGAAAACACAATGCTGGAACTAAATCAATGCTTATGTCTTCGTTTGTTTCTGGCATAGTCAATATTAATGTAAATGCTGGACCACTCTTCCTTATTTTAAATAAGATATTGGTACGATTTGCTGGCAAATGTAATATATATTTATCTTCATACTTTTGTAATTTATTCATAACTTTACTTAAAATTCTCTCGGTCCATTGACGAAATTTATGTGGGTTTACATAGCCGTCATCGATAAATGTATATAAGGATCTGAAATATGTATCAACATTAAGGTTAGTATAATGTATAACTGTACAAAAAAAATATACGTGTATACATGTATATGTATATGTTTCTTCTTCATACTTTCTTTCTGAGCGTGTAAGATTGCACTTTGGAAAAATAGTGTCTGTGGGTGAATAATTTTTTATGTATATTGTGATAAATGCTGGTTGATTCGAGTAAAGCTGAAAGTAAATAAATACGTTTTGCATACATTCATTAACATTTATACTGTGAATAAATCATGTTACTAATATTCTTACGCTTATGTTATTGTAATCAATAGGAAGTTTTAAATTAATATTTAAGTCAAATTCATCCAGCTTGCTAACTTTCGTCTGTTTAAAAACACTTCCGCAATAAATAATATTTCTGTACATTTTCTCGAATAATGTATCCTCCTTTTTCATTTCTTGTATCAAAGCTTCGACTACCTGTTACATTAAATCTTATAAAAAATAAATAAATAATTTCTTATAAAATAAATAAAAATAAATAAATAAATAATTTTGTATAAAATAAATAAAAGTAAATAAATAAATAATTTTGTATAAAATAAATAAAAGTACATACCCTACATAATTTTGTATCACATCCCTACCCCAGTCCCATAAACTACCCTCAAATACCCTTTGTTTCGCCCATCACTCACACATACCCACCCCCTAAACTCCCATTTTTCTACCCACTCCCTCCCCACTCACCCCACCCTCAAATCCTTTTCTAGAGAAGGAAATACATCGTCATATTCTGAAAAATTTTTAAGAAATGCATTCATAGAATTACGAAAACATACCAATGACATACAGGCTTTGTATCTTTTGACATTACCAGATTCTAATGATATAAACATTTTATTTGTTAAATTAAACACAGTATTGTCGGAAAGATATTTCTTTAACTGTGTCTCATCCATCTGTATGTTCATGAAACAATATTTAAAATTAGAAAAATCATATTGTAAAATAGCAACCAATATGCTGCTCGTATAATACAAACCTTAGATATAATAATTATAATAGCTTCCTTTGAGTAAAATTAGTATTAAAATCAAGTGTCGTATTCGTCGTCGTTTAGTTTGATTTTATAAACACAACTGTGAATATAACATTAAAAATTATTATAATACAATTAGAAAAATTGTTTTACTAATTATTTATCTTTCGTTATCACAAAATTAGTTAGTTCTAAGAAAAAAAACTTCAGATTAAAAAATTTGAATTTGAATTTTTCGTTAAATACCAGTAACTTGCAATATTTTTTTTTCTATTTTGTGAAAACGATATTTAATTGTAATATAAAACAGGGATTCGGTCAACCCTGGGAAAAATTTTAATGGGGGATTGCTAGAGGCCAAGATAAGACGAAAATCAAGAATACCAATTTGTTGATGGAGGCTTCGTTAAAAAGTTATTAACAATTAAATTCAAAAATTTCAAATCGTTTTGGAAAAATTATTTTCGGTTGCGGGGGTCAATTACAATCATTTTTGGCGAATAGACGTACCCCCGAAATCCTACGCACTTTCGAGAAAAAAATTCGAGAAGGTGTGAAATTTTTCGACGGAAACAAAAAATTTCAAATCGTTCTGGAAAAATTATTTTCGGTTGCGGGGGTCAATTACAATCATTTTTGGTGAATAAACATACCCTCGAAATCCTACGCACTTTCGAGACAAAAATTCGAGAAGGTGTGAAATTTTTCGATGGAAACAAAAAATTTCAAATCATTTTGGAAAAATTATTTTCGGTTGCGGGGGTCAATTACAATCATTTTTGGTGAATAGACGTACCCCCGAAATCCTACGCACTTTCGAGAAAAAATTCGAATAGGTGAAATTTTTCGACGGAAACAAAAAATTTCAAATCATTTTGGAAAAATTATTTTCGGTTGCGGGGGTCAATTACAATCATTTTTGGTGAATAGACGTACCCCCGAAATCCTACGCACTTTCGAGAAAAAATTCGAATAGGTGAAATTTTTCGACGGAAACAAAAAATTTCAAATCATTTTGGAAAAAATTATTTTCGGTTGCGGGGGTCAATTACAATCATTTTTGGTGAATAGACGTACCCCCGAAATCCTACGCACTTTCGAGAAAAAATTCGAATAGGTGAAATTTTTCGACGGAAACAAAAAATTTCAAATCATTTTGGAAAAATTATTTTCGGTTGCGGGGGTCAATTACAATCATTTTTGGCGAATAGACGTACCCCCGAAATCCTACGCACTTTCGAGAAAAAAATTCGAGAAGGTGTGAAATTTTTCGACGGAAACAAAAAATTTCAAATCGTTCTGGAAAAATTATTTTCGGTTGCGGGGGTCAATTACAATCATTTTTGATGAATAGACGTACCCCCGAAATCCTACGCACTTTCGAGAAAAAATTCGAAAAGGTGAAATTTTTCGACGGAAACAACAAATTTCAAATCGTTTTGGAAAAATTGTTTTCGGTTGCGGGGGTCAATTACAATCATTTTTTATGAATAGACGTACCCCCGAAATCCTACGCACTTTCGAGAAAAAATTCGAAAAGGTGAAATTTTTCGACGAAAACAAAAAATTTCAAATCGTTTTGGAAAAATTATTTTCGGCTGTGGGGGTCAATTACAATCATTTTTGGTGAATAGACGTACCCCCGAAATCCTGCGCATTTGCGAGAAAAAAATTCAGTACGGGCGGAACTTTAAACGTTAATAACTTTTTAACAAAGCCTCCATCAACAAATTGGTATTCTTGATTTTCGTCTTATTTTGGCCTCTAGAATCTCCCAATAGAATTTTTCCCAGGGGTTGTCGAACACCCTGTATGTAAAAAAATGAAAAGAAAAAATAGTACGGAATGTTATAAAATACGTACATGAATACTACATAAACGAATCCATTTGTCTACGTATCCACTTAGTCGATGCTGAGAACTGGACGAGAAAATGCGACGGGGCGAACTTATATACGTATTGCTTATCACAATCTGTTTATCACTGATAATGTAATTAAGTTAAGTTTTCATACGCGTACATATTTTTATTTAGTATAAATAGCTTTATAATACGATTAAAGGAAATATTTAGTAATGTAAGAATAAAATTCGTTGAATGTTTCATTCAGAATATCAGAGTACCATTGCGATACAGTGCACGCATCGAATCAACTGAATCGTATTACCGCGGTCGATATCGTAGTCGATTCAACGGTTATTGAATCGAATCGTAGATGTAAACTATTGCACGTGACGGAATTCTAAACATATTTTTATTTCAAACGGAAGGATGGAGTTAATCTTGTCGAACTGCTACTCTCTCGTCGACTTTTCTAAGCTTGAAGTATTATAAAATGCGTTATTTCTTCATAATTTACAACTTTGTCCTTTGGAAATATCGATAGTTGACTTTAGATTATCTATTCTACTATATCTATTATAGATACTACTAAAAAAAAGGTGCATAATTATGAATAAAATGTATATGTGTAATTATAATTATATAAAATTAAATTAAATTGTATAAACAAAAATAGAAATTATGTAAATAAAATTTACGATTATATAATTTTGTGTTATTAATTTGATAATTATTTAAAGTAGTCACCTTACAGATTTCGATGATTTTCAAATATGTTATGGACCTCGAAATTCTAAACAAGTTTTTTTCTATGGATATAACACCGGCTCGGCTTTAATTTTTAAAATATTTGCAAAATACTTTTGCTAGTTTACACTGAATTCGATTTATACGTACGCAGTCGCCACATAGTGTGTGAAAGTGTCTGTCCGTCGCTTATCTATCATTTCTATTACATAAACTCGTTGCAACGGTTAGTAACGGCAATCAAGTTTATGTAACGTGTAGATCGAACAAAAAAGAGATGTGTGAAAATCGTCCAGCATCATATTTTTATAAGTTTTGTTTGTAGAATATTTTTTATAAACAAATGACTGTAATAATATGTACAGATTATAATTAATCTGTAGAGATTATTACAGTCAATATTCTACGTACTATATTTAACGATTTCATGTACAAAATAATATACAGTCTCCTATAAAAACACTAAAAGATCGTCCACCTGTTTTCATTTGTAAAACTAGAACATTAACTTAAAAATTACATATATTTGATATTTTGTCGGGTGTCCCCAACTATTTATACAGAAAAGATTCTCCAGAAAATCGATCTTTTCGATACGATTTTCGATTCTTGGATATCCGATTTTGGCGCGAATCAATTTCTTTTGTAATGGCGAAATTTCTGTTTCTTTCATTTAATTTATAGTGTGATGTGTGAGACTTTTCTGTTTTTCCTTAAATTTACATTTTAAAAACTTACAAACAGCGACAAGTAAGAAAAGAAAAATCCCTTGTGTAAGCAATCGTTGGGGCGACCGTCGCAGTTGGGCGACGCGACGGATGTTTAGGTTATAAGATAAGAGGTGTCGATTCCGAAAAGGGAGGAGAGCGGAACGATCCCGAGGAGAAACGAGCGTTCAGCAGGCAGTCAAATAAAACCTCTTACGAAAGAAGCATCTCACCGCCCTTTAGTTTTCTTCACCCTTTTGTCCGCTATACTTGTTTGAGGACCATTCCTTAACCCAGACCTCTAAAGTTAACGACTTTTGCAAAAATGGGTTGTACTTAGTAATTTTGTATCTTGGAAATTATTCATAGTATTGAAATGTTTTTTTTCAGTTTTACTAGGAAAGGATTGACCTTTCGAAATAAATTTCGTTCCGAATAAAAAATCAATTTTGCAATATCGGGAATTATAAATAAAAATACATTGGGTGTAAGGTCTACTCGTATCACAGACGAGATATATGAATAGACCTTTCACGTAATGTAATTTTTCGGCCGGAGTTTCTGGGGTCCCGAGATCCCATTACCATTTTCGTGTCACTCGCAACGTTATCAACAGATTCAGAAATTAACACAAGAGGAAGTGAGACAGAAAATAAAATTACATAAATTTTATTATTTTTTAACGGAATTAAAGCTGTAGGGTCTATCATTGGACATTAATCGATTAATTTCATTGGAGAAATCAATCGATTAAGAGTATTTAAAAATTTCAAGATTATTAAAATTCCTAAGGATGTATTTCATTGATACGTACACCGCAAATTCTCTATTTTTTATTTTAAATTGTAATACATCATTTATTAAAAAAATAACTCGGCAGAAACGTATTTGCGACTCGAAATCAGTTTAATCAGACTGTGCATCGGGGCCCCGGAAACTTCTCATTCCTCACTTTCGCACACTATGCCCAATTGCGTGTACGTGAGCTCGTTGAGTTTCGGAAGAGCCGAGAAGAACAGGCTGATACTCGCTTTCCTTCTCGCTCTTGTATCGCTGACGTCGTTTACATTTCTCGAAAGCAAGCCTGGCATCGCCAACCGTTCGAATCGTCAGTAAACGACAAAAGCCATCGTGACTGACAGACCTTACATTTCTCGAAATCGGACCTGGGCGCTTTTTGAAGATTCATTGACTTTCCATACGAAGCGACCATGCGTTATATACATATACATGTTATACATGCTAGGAACTATAAATTGTATAACTTTCGTTGTATATCTACTTTCTAATAACATGGGAAAATTTTAAAATATAAAAAAATGTAAGAATACTGTAGAATTTTTGCAATGGAGAATTATTGAAAGAAAATGAGGTAATTATTTAGAAAAGGCCGGGTCTCACCGATTTCGATGATTTTTGAATATGTTGTAGAAATCAACATTTTGAGCAACTTTTTCCTATACATATAACCGTCGCTCGGCCTTAGTTTCCGAGATTTTTCTTCAAAAAGATCGCTACTACTACAATGAATTCTGTCTATACATATGTACATATCTGTGGCTCTGTATTGCATCAGTCCACGATCGTTGCTTTTTTCTCTTGTTTGTATTAGTCGGCATGACAACCGACGACAAATAATGTATAATGTGTCGAGCTAAATCTAGTTCTGCATTGTTGTCAAAGGTTCGAATATTCTGACGTATGGAACTCGCCAAATACATTATGTAGGGTATTTAGTTGAATTCTTCTTCCGTCGACAATATCATGCTAATGATCTAATAATTAAATTTGTCGAAATAATGGCTGAAATCTTTCCCACTTCTGATAATATCAATAAAGAAAATTGAATTAGAAAATGAATGCGTGGCCGCCGTTTGGCGGCCGGCTACACAAATCGTGTTTTTAAGCACAGCTGTTATACGCATTCATTGCCGGCCGCCTCGATGTATCTATAGAAAATAAAAAATAAAAATTTATTTCTCATAATTTTCTATGGTATGGTAAATTCTGAAACAATTCCCAATATACATAGCAGGTTGATTTATACATGTTTCACAATAAAATGTTGTTTGACGTCTTTCTCCTGGTGTTTTCCTGTCGGAACAAATAATGCAGTCCCGGTTTCTTTGGCCTACATTTGGAATATGTAGCTTATTATTCATTCTATTGTCCGACAAAGAACGTTAATTTATTTAGATTATAACGAAGATAGCAATAGGAATGGTTCGACTTTGAATGAAGTTTCGATTTTACGTTTATAGTTTTTTACGTTTACGTTTTATGTTCTTTATGTTAAATAATTTCAGTAAACATTAAATAATATAGTTTATATAGTTACGTTTATTGTCCACGTGTTTGAATCCGACCATACGCCTCTGACCATCATCGACAATCCTTCCACTTCCAACGTAAAAACGGCTGATATATTTCTCATTTTAATAGAATATTTCCCATTTTAATAGGAAAGTACAGGAAAACATGTGTTTCTTAAAAAATTGCGGTGAAATCAGTTCATTCTCCTTAATCACTAATAAACTTTCATGTCCCCTCAGAGGGGACGACCGAGTGCAAAGGGTTAAAATATGTTCATAAAATATTATCGTTTTAAAACGTGTATTTCCGTAAAAACAAATTTTTGTAATTTTTTCTTCATTATGGTATATTGCTTATACATTGTATATGCCTACACAGGTCAGAAAGTCAAAAATGCCTAGGCAGTCGAGAATCTCGGCTCGAGAATATGCGAGATCGAATTTCAGCTGTTGTGAGAGCAAGAAGGATAGACTGACATTCGCCGCCTTTCTCGAATCTACGAAGCTATACGAAACGCCAGAACTCATATACAAGGTGGTTGGCATTAGTGTGTGTGAGTGGTGGGGCAGTTCCCTTTGGGCACGGGTCTGCCGTCTGATAATACTCCACTGTTTTTTCCAATCCCTCCCATAATCAACTCACATGTATTTACGTACCCACTCAGCTGGCTGCCCATCAATACTAATTCAGTGCCTAGTTTCTCAACTAACCGCCATCCATGAGAAGAGGCCACTAAAATCAGCTCCGAATTTTCAGGTCGGTATGGCAGTCAGATTCGGCCGCGAAAGTCCATAAGGTGAAACGTCTATTCATATATCTCGTCTGTGACGTGACTTCGCCGATTCGGCAGGTCGGTATTACAGCAGATATTCTCTGCACAGAAATGGTAATACCATCAGATACGCTGCCGCCTAAAGAAATCAGAGGCAGCTGCTTGCTATTGCCATATACCATTCCGAACAGTGTGACCAATCGACAATAGTAACGGCGAACTTCCTTAGCGTCTAACAGAGTGGTGGGGATAGCAGGTATACATATACATACTACTAACCCAGCCCTCGATTCTACGGCTGTATTTCGTTCATTTTTTCCTCGACTTTCGACGTTTATATTAATAAATGTGAACAGAATCTCGTTCGATTTTGACCAGAGCGCACTGCATTGGACCTTCCTCTTTCGAATGAGACCTCATCCGACCCAAAAGCTGCTCATATAAGGGCAAAATCTCTTATTTCGACATAATTGAGTACATCGAAATCGACAGTAATGACGGCGAACTTCCTTAGCGTCTAACGTAGTGAAATAAAGAACGCTAGTGTGAGCCTTTCCTTCTTGCTCTTGTAAAAGAGAAACAACTGAAATACGACCTCGCGATAAGCGGCATACGATTCCAAGCCTCGACTGCCCCAGCATTTTTACTTTCCGACCTATGTAAGGTACAATAAGGAAATTTATGAAGTATCATAATGTAAAAAAAATGTCGAAATTTTTTTTTAGCGGAAATACACGTTTTAGGACCCCCTGATCATA